CCGTTTTTTGAGATTTAAGTGGAAGATTGCCAATATATTCGCTCGTTTATGAAAGTCAGCTCAATTCTGTCACTGGACTATTTTCCCGAGTTCGGCGGCTAAACCCGGTTCAGACGCCGCTCCACTCATGTTCCGAACCTAACTGAGTTTGGTTCGACTTTGGAGCAACATTGGCGCGACATCTGATTCAGATGGCGCACCGTGTGTCGTGTGTTGTAGGGAGAAAGAAAAAGGCCTGGGTCCGATATCATATCTTCGCGCCATAATTCAACTTTCAAAGATGGTGGCTGTGAAGGAGAGGATAGCTCTGATTAGAGCTATTTCTCGGGGAAGCGAACGTAGGAGGATGTTTTCCGAAAGTGCGCAAATGCTTATTGCATTAAGAAGACGACGGATAGCTCTTCTTTTGTCCTTGGCAGGGATTTTGTTGCTCTCGCGTAAGCAGAATTTAGCCACGGAGATGGTTCATGTACGATCTTGCCGGCGTCTGCTCAGGAGCAACGGCTGGTGGGAGATGGTTTGGACAACATATACCGATGAACGATTCAAGAAAACTTTCAGAATTTCAAAGAATACATTCAGTTTCATTCTGAACCGGATTCGAAACGACTTGGAACGCCAGACAGTAAACGAAGACCCCATATCACCCGAATGTCGGCTAGGCATTTGCCTTTATAGGCTCGGAAGAGGTGATTATTACTACACCATAGCGGAAATGGCTGGATTGGGTGTTTCAACTGTACATGAGATTGTAACTCAGGTATGTCAATCGATCGTTGAAGACCTTTGGGAGGACTGTGTCAAGAAGCATATGCCATGCACTGAGGAGGACTTTAAAGATAAGATGAAGGAAATGAACGAAAGGTGGCAGTTTCCCTTCTGTTGGGCTGCAATTGATGGCTGCCACATACCTATTAAATGTCCACCAGGAGGAGCTGCATCGTGTAAAGAGTACCACAATTTCAAGAACTTCTATTCCGTGGTATTGATGGCTATGGTAGACTCAAAATATAGGTTTATTTGGGGCAGCTGCGGTTTCCCTAGTAACTCCCATGATGCTATCATTTTCCAGGCAACAGAACTCTGGGAAAAGCTAAACGAACACGATTTTATTCCAGACATTGCACATAAGGTTGCTGATGTGAACATTGGTCCACTCATTATTGGGGATTCAGCATTCCCATTCGAACCGTGGCTATTGAAGCCCTACACAAATGCAGTACTCACAGAGAAGCAGAGATACTTTAATTACAGGTTAAAAGTCGTGCTAGGATGGTCACAGAAGGAGCATATGGGCAACTTAAAGGAAGGTGGAGGGTGCTTTTGAGGAAAAACGAGAGTGAACCTTGTCAAGCCAAAACAACAACCCTTGCTTGCATGGTTTTGCATAACATCTGCATTGAAAAGGGTGATACCATCTGCAGCAAGCTAGATATTACTAGCGACCCACTTACAAATGCGAAGAGAGATAGTCGCACATTAAGGGATGCATTAGAGATGACCTGTTGTAGAAAGCTACCAGACTCCAATTCCCAGGCAACTCAACTCAACTCAGGAGCGCGCTAGCAGATATGTTTTGGAGGGAAAGAGAAGGTTCTGAATTAAAGTGAACGAGTTAAACCAAATATTTCTTGCAACATTTATTGGAGTTTTGTAATGGGCCCATTCAGTTATTTCCACTACGTTTTGTAACAAGGAAGGCTTCTTTTATAATATTAGCCCACCCAAAGTACTGTAAACTGCGTGCTTCAATTTATAACAGATGAACTTTATATGTTGAAAGAATGTAATGTTCAAAGGGGTTTTACATGACCCATGAAGTGCATCATGTTTCACATTTCAACACCATAACACAACATTTGAATGCATTCTGCTATTTATATTGATGATAAAATTTCGCACCAAGTGTTTCTAATGAAGTGATAGTATCCATTATGAAGGGCCCATGATGACACAACTGTCGAGTTTAAGTCAGTAGCTTGGACTTGCATTGTACAATGTACTTTAAGTAGTAGTTAGCGGGTGTCAAGTCTGTAGGTAATACAACTTCTACAATATTAAGAATAAATTTGTTAACACAACTGTTATCGTAGTTTAAGTGAACATCAGAAGAAACTGTCTTTGCAGGTACAAAGCAAACATCAACTAGAAAACATTTATCAAGGACTTGCGCCTCTGCTTTTTAGCAAAATTTTCTCCAAACCATCCAACTAATTTTTACCAGCACTGTCATGGGAAAGTCAGTCAGTTGCACAAAGACAAACTATAGTGATTAGATACTTCTGTTTCTGAACAAGCAAGATCCTGGGTAAAGACACTTTTAAACATGTTGTTTTTCCCTGTTGCAAATGCTAGTAAAATATAGAGTCACAAGCAAAAAGGCTTTCTGGCGCCTGAGAATTTTCCATGAATGCCAAGAGTCCCTGTATTTCACGGGTACAACATTAGTTGCATCACTCTAGTGGTACAATTCAAGGGCTAAAAATGAAACAGGAATATGTAATAGACTTATTATAATAATTGAGCACTGCCCAAATTAGGGAATTTTTAGCCAATATTTTTGAGTGAAATTGAAGACTACATACATGTCCACACCATAATTCAGCAGATTCGTATCAATTTTATATACAATTATCTCTTTAAACCCTAAGATCAAAATCTAAATCCTCATTTATTACCCCTATTTATTTCCTATAGAATGTGGAGAAGTTGATAAAATATCAAGCAAGCCCATCTTGTGTGATCATGTCCTTAATTGTCATGACCACTCTGTTTTACAAAGCATTGCTGTGATAAGGAGACATTTGATGCTGATCGCTCCTAGGGCTTAAAGGGTTAATTAGCATTTCAACATCAAGTAATTACATAAGTGTACACCTGCTTCACTTTCAACCCTTCATTTAAAAGTCAATAAACTCAACAAGACCATAGTTGGTGGAAACTTCAAGAAAACCAAAAATTTTGGTAGTTTAAGTCTCCAGGATGAACAGAACTTGACATCTGATTACCATACTGCCTACTGTCACTTCCAATTAGTCCATGTAAGTTGGCCGCTGCTGTAGCTCTTTCTTGTAGGGTTGGTTGAACATGCTGTGTGGGCATAGCTTGCAGAAGCATCTGTAGCATGTTACGTTCATGTTCACGAGACTTTTGAGCCTGATCACTCATGTACGAAAGGACTTCTTTCACCGGATCATTGTTGATGGCAGTCTTGATTAGGTCAATTACTTCATGTAAAGACTCATCTGTCTTTCTCTTCCTTCTCCTTGTAGCCACAACTCTCTCTTTGCTTTCAGATGAGGATGTGTCAGGTGATGCTTCAGCAGCACTAGCTTCTGAATCTGGTAAACATGGTGATTGTGTACGAACAAATGAAGACTCTACTGCAAGTTCAGGTCTGCATGCATCCCGAGTTTTGGCAATAGCAAATAGGCTGTTAAACCATGGACCATAGCCTTTTTCGTCAATAAATCTCTTTATTCCTGTGCTAGTCTTCATGGTGAGAGAAGTCTTCTTGCACTCAGCAATGGCTTTCTTGAACTTTGTTCGCAACTGAACATGATCAAATGGAACTTCTTCATTTCTCACAGCAGCCCTTTCCTTAAGTTCGACCAGAACCTTTTTGTATATTTCTCCATTTTTCTGGTTTTTAGTGTTGGTCAGTATGAATTTATTCTTGTAATAATCATAAGATATTACAATGTCCACCAAATCCCCTAATAGACTTTGACTCCATTTGGCCTTCCTTCCACTTTTATTCTTAGAACATTTTTGGCTTTTCTTCTTTTTTTCAAACAGGCCCCGGCTGAGACTTTCATCCTCACCATCTTCATCATCATCACTATCAACAGCACTGAGGAAAATGAACAAAAGTTTTAAATATTGCAGCACTAAATTCTCACATGTCTTAATGTAAACCCATGAAAACCAAAAAAAATTGCTTCAAAAGTTGCACTTGTATTTGTCTGCCTAGAGGTCATATTTTTTATTGCTGTGATTATTGTAAAAACCATCTATTCAAATTAAAACCATTCAAAAGGAACCCTGCTTAAATTTAAACCCTCACGAATCGAAGGTGCTAAGACTCTATCAAGCTAGGGGATCACACACAGGCAAAGGAGAGGCATACATGCAGCCTTTGTGGCCTAGCAGTTAGAACTCTAGAACGTTGCAAGCTAGAGGTACTTGGATCAAATCCACCAAATTCTAGCTTTGCTATTTTTTCTTTTTTTATCTGACCAAAGTCTCTCTTCACATTTTTTTTTTTATTTTAAAATTTGTATCAATCCCTACCACCTTTTATACATGGTGAACATTGTTGATGGAACAATGCCATACAAATGACAATACGCAGTCAGAAATCCTTTCAAAATAGATTCATAAATATAGGGCTAATGAATCTGTGCTAAGCAATAAGCATACAATAAGCATACAATAAAAATATTAAAGACATTCAACGACTAATTTGTGTCTTCAACTGAAATCTTCAGCGCCATGCGTTTCCCTGAGCTTCATGAGGTCCTGCGAGACACTCACGTTTCTAGTATTAAACACTGAAAGTTTTCTACCAGAATCCAGTGTAGATGAACTAGATCGCTCATTAACTGAGACTGAAATATATGTTGTGTTACCATTTTATCATTGGTTTAGATTTTCTTTTCTTTTGTCTTTGTGTATGGTAATGTATGATAATGAGCTGGAAACAAAGAAAAATAAATTTGAAACCCAAATAACAACATAAGTTTCCGATTTAAGTGGGAAAATCACAAACCAAAGTGATGACAAGTAAATGGATTCAAAGTTGTTGTTCCCTGGATGCTGGCAGTGATACCAGATGTACAAAAAATGTACACTTCTCTAATAAGAAATGGCACATGACTGCTTCCAGGGCACATGCCAAACAAGTAATTCATGTCACTGTAATCCAAGTTAACATTATGGCTGTTGTGGTTCAATTTTATTCTTGGTTTAAATTTTACTTTCCTTTGGTTCAAACTCATTATCATACATTACCATACCCCAAAACAAAGGAAAATAAAATTCAAACCAAGGAAAAAATTGAACCACAACATGGCCACTATTATTGACCTTCCACAGAGGGATAAATATAAACATTAACACAAGCAATTTGCAGTTTCAAATTTTTTAATTATACCTTTCTGTTGATCAATTTTTATCACCTAACTTGCACCTATGCTTACTTTAAAGCAACAAAGGAAACCTTGAATGCTGGAATTCCTTCGGCGATGATTTTGTTGTGTTGGAAAAGAGAATGAATCACGCATGAGATAAACTGCAAACATAACTACATCGGGTGTTTACATTTCTTGTTTGTGACAGCTTCTTGCTGATTATCACTTTTATTAGCGAAAGAAGATTACCTTTCCTTTTCACTGTAGACTTCATCTGCCGCTCTATCTTTTCTTCAACTTCTTCATAACTGTGCCTACTTGCGATCAGCAACTCGGTTACGGGCCTTACAGTTTCGCACTCAAAACAGTAGCCGACATTCTTCCCACCTATCCACCCGTCCACGCTTTCATCAATCTCTGGCTCGCTACATAAGTTGCAAATGGCTACTTTGCAGCGAATGCAGCGATATTTGGTCCATCTTTTGCACTGTTTACAGTTCTCTCCGTCTTTTGCCGCCATTAGGGAGTTTAAGATACTGAGACTACGGACTACGAACTACGGCTGGACGAGCGTTGTCCTTTGTTTGTAGCACTGGGTTGAGTCGTGCAAATATAGAACGTTAAGATTGCACTACAGACAGTAGACTACAAGAGAAGAGGCGGAGAGGGAAACAACACGCAAAGATTTTCTTGTTTTCATCACAGTTCACAAAAATGCAAGTCAGTTTTGCATGTGATCTTATCTTTTGAACAATGAACAAATTCTTCCATACTTGAAGGAAGCAATTACGTCGGGTGAAATTGATGAACAAAATTTTGGTTACACAGGTTTTACTTTTTTCGCCCATGAATACTTATGTCAAATATTAAAGAAATAGACAGAAATAGTAATAGCTCATTTATTAGATTTAGAAGATGGACTTCTCCGACTACTAATCTGATGTAGTTTGAAGTTTGAAGTATTGAAATGCCGAGTCTCGATTGTCTGGACGATGTTTACATCATTTTCATTCAGCAAAAGCGATACAAAAACTCGCATAAACAAAGGTTACACAAGTAGAAAGACACACTAATCAGTTCGAACAAACATTGAAACTTTTCAAGTGCGAAGAGAAAGTAAATTACCTGCATGATTTTTCTTCTCCTCGGCCGTCAATCTGAATTCTAAGCTTAGCTAGATAAAAATGTAGTCACAACAGTGGATTAAAAGCGTAAATCTGAGCAGAAATTAGACACAACTTACATATTTCGCTTCCCTCTCACTTTAAGCAGGTGAATTGAAAACTTTTTTACGAAAAGACGAGATTCTTGAATTACCGAGACGGCAAAATACGACCAAAATGTTCTCCGTAGTCCCGACTACGCGAAACAGCTCAACAGCTCACCGTAGCCGCAGGACTACGTGGGAAAAATGAACAGTCACGTGGTTTTGATCATGCGCAGTAGCATGTTTAACCGTAGTCGTAGTCCGTAGTCGACGTATCTTAAACTCCCTATTTTCTCTTCTTCGTAAAACTTACGGGCATGCGTAACAAGTCCTCCGTGGGACTTATGGGAAGATTTATAAATTATCATAATGTATGCATTTAATTCGGCACATGAGAAGAACGCCGTATGAATCACCTGCCGCTCCAATGTCGAATAATGCGACATTGGGAAATAAGAAAAAGGATTTGCAAAACTATTCTCGTGAACAGAGGTCTTCCTTTTGCTAATTATGCGTGCGCGTGCAAGACCGCTGTTCTTTACGTGGCTCGTACAACTTCAGACAAACAAATTTCAAGAACTTTTCAAGGATTTTTCAAGGACAAATTAAATTTTTCAAGGACTAAGATTTATTTGATAAATCGGCATTCTTTAACCCCCAGTATCCATCTTAACTGGAGTAATTTACGATTTTTACTTCTGCGGCCATCCTTGATCACGTTATTTTATTCTTCTTTCCTTGAAGACTTTGCAAAATGACTGGGTATGACTTGCAATTGCATCGTAGGTACAGAAATAACATTTGAAATAAAGAAATAGAAATAAAATATTGTTCATGCACAAAAATGTTTTTACGTTACCAGCGAGTTTTACAGGTTCTTACACCGTGGATGAGCCAAATTTTCCCCGGCAAAATAATCTAATTTTACAGAAAAAGGTGTCTGGCGTGGACAAGGTTGTGAATTTCAAGTAATATATCAAACATGAGATCCAGTGTTTCATCACCAGATGAAACACCGAGAAGAGAGTTGAAAATACGACGCGCAGCGGAGTATTTTTGACGAACTTCGAGGTGTTTCATCTGGTGATGAAACACTGTGTCGAATGTTTGATATTTCTTCTCAAACAAAATCATTTTTGAAGGAGAAATTAAGGATGCAAA